AGGTCTGTATTCAGGTCCTGGATATCCTTGTTGATTTTCTGTCTGGTTGATCTGTCTAATATTGACAATGGGGTGTTAAAGTCTCCCACTATTATTGTGTGGGAGTCTAAGTCTCTTTGTAAGTCATTAAGAACTTGCCTTATGTATCTGGGTGCTCCTGTATTGGGTGCGTATATATTTAGGATCGTTAGCTCTTCTTGTTGCAGTGATCCTTTTGCCATTATGTAATGTCCTTCTTTGTCTCTTTTGATCTTTGTTGCTTTAAAGTCTATTTTATCAGAGATGAGAATTGCAACTCCTGCTTTTTTTTGCTCTGCATTTGCTTGGTAGATCTTCCTCCATCCCTTTATTTTGAGCCTTTGTGTATCCTTGCATATAAGATGGGTTTCCTGGATACAGCACACTGATGGGTTTTGGCTTTTTATCCAATTTGCCAGTCTGTGTCTTTTGATTGGGGCATTTAGTCCATTGACATTTAGGGATAGTATTGTTATGTGTGAATTTGATACTGTCATTTTGATGCTACCTGGCTGTTTTGTTGGTTAGTTGATGCAGCTTCTTGATTGTGTTGATGCTCTTTTACCATTTGGTGTGTTTTTGGAGTGGCTGGTACTGGTTGTTCCTTTATATGTGTAGAGCCTCTTTCAGGAGTTCTTGTAGGGCAGGTTTGGTGGTTATGAAATCTCTGAGTGCTTACTTGTTCACAAAGGATTTTATTTTTCCTTCACTTATGAAGCTTAGTTTGGCTGGATAGGAGATTCTGGGTTGAAAGTTCTTTTCTTTAAGGATGTTGAATATTGGTCCCCAATCTCTTCTGGCTTGTAGGGTTTCTGCTGAGAGATCTGCTGTGAGTCTAATGGGCTTCCTTTGTGGGTAACCCGACCTTTCTCTCTGGCTGCCCTTAGCATTTTCTCTTTCGTTTCAACCCTGGTGAATCTGACGATTATGTGCCTTGGGGTTGCTGTTCTTGAGGAATATCTTTGTGGTGTTCTCTGTATTTCCTGGATTTGAATATTGGTCTGCCTTGCTAGGTTGGGGAAGTTTTCCTGGATAATATCCTGAAGAGTATTTTCCAGCTTGGATTCATTCTCTTCATCACATTCAGGTACACCTATCAGACGTAGATTAGGTCTTTTCACATAGTCCCACATTTCTTGAAGATTTTGTTCATTCCTTTTTGCGCTTGTTTCTCTGTTCTTGCCTTCTCTTTTTATTCCATTGAGTTGATCTTCGACCTCTGATATCCTTTCTTCTGCTTGGTCAATTCGGCTGTTGAAGCTTGTGCATGCTTCACGAAGTTCTCGTGTTGCGTTTTTCAGCTCCATCAATTCACTTATACTCCTCTCTATGCTGTCCATTCTCGTCAGCAGTTCGTCCAATCTTTTTTCAAGGTTCCTATTTTCTTTGCGTTCGGTTAGAACATGTTCTTTTAGCTCACTGTAGTTTCTTACTACCAACCTTCTGAAGTCTGATTCTGTCATTTCATCACCCTCCTTCTCCATCCGGTCTGGTTCCCTTGCTGGTGAGGAGTTGTGATCCCTTTTAGGAGGAGAGGTGTTCTGGTTTCGGGAGTTTTCATCCTTTTTGCGCTGGGTTCTTCCCATTTTTGTGGGTTTATCCACCTGTTGTCTGTCTCTGTCCCAGGGAGTTGGAGCTTTATGAGTTTCCGTTGCACTACTGCCTTTTTTGATTTTTCTTTCAGGTCTGACCCGCCCAGCTAGCAGCAGGCCTAGCCACTGCCTGCCCGCAGGGGCTTTGCTGAGTTGCTGTGGGCTCCGCCCAGCTGCCCTGAGCCTGTTTATATGGGCGTAGTTAGAACTCTCTCGGCAACGGTGGCCCCGCCTCTGTTATGGAGGACTCTCTCTGTTGTGGCAGGTTGCCTTGGCAACGGCGGGTTGCCTCGGCAACGGCAGCCTGCCTCCGTAGTGGTGGAGAGTCTCAGTAATGGCGGAAGCCCCTCCCCCACCGAGCCGGACCGTCCTGGTTCAACTGTGCTTGGTTTGAAGGGCTCAACCCAGAGGGTTTCCAATTACTGTTTTTGTTTTCGTTGTTGTTGGGGGTGGAGGGGTGGGACCAACCGAGCCTGATCACCTGGCTCCCTGACTCAGAGTCTTTTCTTTTAAGTTGAATGACCCCGCGTTCCGGTCGCTTGTTGAAAAGGCGCTGGGATCTCCCGTGCTGCGACTCATGGAGTCGGCTCGAACTGCGGCGCCGGCTCCTGGTGGATTTTTTGCCTAGGAATCTCCTGCTCTGGCTTGCTATTTCAGCTGAATGGGCAACTCTGCCATCTCAGGGCTCTGCTTGCCAGCTAAGAGGGCTCCCAGACCAGTGGCTTTTGTACGGAGAACCGCAGCAACAGGGCGTGGGCACAGCAGCCGCGCGGGCGGAATCAGCCCCACGGGGGCCAAAACAGCCGCACCGGCTGGGATTGCGATGCTGGCGACCCCTCTGCCTGGGTATCCCCTGGTCTGTGGGCAATAAGAGTTCGTCTGGAAATGCAGCGTCCACTCACCCTCTGCTTTTTCACTGGGAGCTGAAGTCCTGAGCTGTTCTTAGGCGGCCATCTTCCCAGCATTCCCTCTTATTTATATTTTTTAGATGAAGTCTCACTCTGTCATCCAGGCTGGACTGTAGTGGCACTATCTCATCTCACTGCAACCTCTGTCTCCCAGGTCCAAGCGATTCTCCTGCCTCAGCCTCCTGAGTAGCTGGAACTACAGGTGTGCCACAATGCCTGGCTCACTTTTGTATTTTTAGTGGAGACAGGATTTTGTCATTTTGGCCAGGCTTGTCTCAAACTCCTGATTTCAGGTGATCTGCTGCCTCAGCCTCCCAAAGTGCTGGGATTACAGGCTTGAGCCACCATGTCCGGCCATATAGCTTTTAAGTGGTTAAGAGACAGGAACTAGAATTGAAATCTAGATAGTCTGACTGCTACAATGTTCTGCTTCCAGCTCTCATGTCCTATTCCTCTAGAATAAAAATCACACCTCATATATGTATTAACATACTTTAGAGCATTCTGCAGGAGCTCTGGCATGCTTAATTTAGGTGCCTTAAGGCAACAGTGACTTGCCAACACCAAATGACTTGGTAAACTAAATGGTGGCTCCCAGCCTTACTATGGATATTCAGATGTCCATGTCCTAAACTCTATAACCTGTCACTATTACATTTATGGCAAAAGGGATTTTGCAAATGTGGTTAAGTTCGGGATTTTGAGATGGGGAGATTGTCCTGGATTAGCCAAGTGGGCCCAATGTAATCACAAGGGTTCTTCTAAGAGGGAAGATGATGTGAAGATGGAAGTAGAAAGAGATAGAAATTTGAAGATGATGCTACAAAAGATGCTTTTGAAGATGGAGGAAAGGACCATGAGCCAAAAAGTGCAAGGAAAACAGTTCTAGAAGCTGGAAAAGGCAAGGAAAGATATTCCTCTAGAGTTTCCATAAGGAAGCACTCTGGCAACACCTTGACTTCACCCAGTGAAACTAATTTTAGACTTCTGGCTTTTGGAATTACAAAAGAATAAATTTTTGCGACTTTGAGTTGCCAAGTTTGTGATAATTTCTTACAGCATCAATAAGAAACTATTAATAATATGAATGGAGTGGGGTGGTAGGCATGGCAGCTACTGGATGAGGATGTCAGGGAGAGCTAGAACTAGTGCAGTGGTGAAAGCTCCTGGATATATTCAAGGATAGGATGGTCTGAGAAAAGGCTAAGAAGTAGCCTCAAGCTGTGGAGCTGAGGATGGCTGCAATTTCTAACACATCCCGCAGAAGGCTGGGCTTCTGGAAAGGTCAGGAACACTCAACTCAGGGATTGTTGAGTTGAAGGAACCTCTGCTGGTCTTACCAGCTTTCTTCAAGGTGCAGGACTGACACACATCCACTTGGTGAGATGGGGACCCAGGTGCTTTGGTGGTCAAGGAGTGGCACCTTGGCTCAGCATATAGCACAGTGTTTTACACATAATGGGGCCTCCTTAAGGTTTGTCCCTTGTTTTCTCCTGGACAGTGTGACTCAGAAGTAGGAAACACATACACATATTCACCACTATAAATACACATCTCAGAAATGAGACAAACATTTTCTCATTCTAGATTTCTAAATAAGTCCTAAAAATAAAGCCCTGAAAAAAAATTCTACCCAAACTTATAGGATTAAAGGGAATAATCAGATATAGGGAGTGGCTTTTCTCTAAGGAAATTTGTGCCATTTATCATAGATACTGAGCACTCCACCCACAGCAGTGAGAAATGTCAACATCAGCAATAAGTAGTTTCCACTATACCTGATTTATCATGGCCTCTGGGGTAAAACTGCAAACATATGCTATACTAATTAGTTTTAATCAGCCATTGTGTAAGAAATTGAAATATCAATACTCTATCATTTTTAAATAGGACAGTCTGAATTCCTAATGTTGGCCCCTGGAAAGACTACTTGCCAACACACTGGAGTATTTCTTGGTTTGCTCCCAAAGAAAGCATTATTCACAGAAAGACATTCTAGCATTTCAGAGCTCTGAGCCCTTAGTTTAAAATACTCTTGGTTTTTGAGTCAGAACTTAATGGTTTTGGGCCTATAGTGAGCAAGATTTATGAATCAGACCCCAGATACAATGCCACTTCTACTATTAACTTTTTTTTTCTGATTATAAATACAGTGCAAGAGCCCGTGGCCTGCAATGCCACAAGGTCTACCTCAAATGCCAAGGTTCTCATAGTGGCAGTCACACAAGAATTTCCTTTACAGTGTCCAGTTCATACTCCTACTCCAGCTGTGGTTGGTTGACAGTGATGTGAGGCAGTGATGTGAGGCTGCTGCTACAGTAGCAAGATATTTCCAGCCTCAACCAAGATTAAAGGTGCAGGCAGGCAACCCCAGCATCAACTGGTATAACTGATTTCATAAAGCTATGAAAAGGAAGTCCATCTGGGAGAGAGGTAGACTAGCAAAATGTATTTATCCCTCACCTGATGAACTCCTACTTACGTTTCAAGGCTCAATTCAGATGTCTTATGGTGACACCATGAGATTAAATGACAAAGCTTAGCAGAGTTAAGGAAATGGCTTCTTCTACACCTTGACTTAGAACAGAGATGGTTCTGGAACAACACAGACTGACAGGAACACAGTAGCACCTGAAGGGATAAAAAAATTACAGTGTATGTCATTGTAGAAAATATAGGAATGCAAGCTTTGTGCAGTGGCAGTATCATAGCCAATGAGGTCAATCTGAGGCATGATTATTGCTAATTGAAAACTTCTCCCGATACCCTGCTGTGACAACTTGCAATATAGTCAGCATTGGCAATTTTTGACAGTCTTCACGGAGACTGAATTAAAAAAAAAATACAGGAATGCAGGAAAGTGTACAATAAAAAAAATCCAAATCGCCCATAATAAAACCACATGGATATAGAACTATTAGCAACTTATTGTATTTTAAAAGGTATTTTATTTCCAGACAATTTAAAATCATTAATAAATTACGGTAAATCCATATAATACAGCCAGTAAAATAGATTTTTCAAAAATATTTAATGACATGGGAGAATGTTTGTGATATAATAAAAATTCATGTCGTATTTTTTCAGTATGATTTGAATTTTGTAAAAACATACACACATCTACAAACATACATTTAAAACTCCTGAGAATTGATTAATAAACAAATGAATTATAAATGAAAAATAATTGCAAATTCCTTGTCATTCTCTAAGTCATCCAAGCCCATCTCTGAGTTGCAGTCTATTTCTTTTCCTTCTTGAATCCGGTTAGGCCTGAGGCTGATTTGACCGGCAGAAAACAGAATAAATGATTCTGTGATAATTCTGGGCCTACCTTTTAAGAGGACTGGAAATTTCTAATTTTTCCCACTTGGAACTTAGCTGCTAAGCTATGAAGAGACCCAAGCAGCTATGGAGGAGCCATGTCGAGGATGATCATCCCCTTTGGCAAACAGCTGTAGCCAGCACTGGCCAGTATTCCTGCCAGCTTGCCAGGCATATGAATGAACCATCTTCAAAGTGGATCCTCCCTCCTCCAGGGAGGAATACACAAATGGTGTATTTCTGTTGGCTAAAATCAGAGGTCTTTATAACTTTTCCTCCTTTGTTCATCATATTGCTTTCTTTCACTTAGCTTCTTCATACTTCAATATTCCCTTCTTCAATTTTTGATAATTTGCCTGGGTTAGTTAAGATGATTTCTCATTAGAAAATGCTGTGGGAGGAGGCCGAGGTGGGTGGATCACGAGGTCAAGAGATCGAGACCATCCTGGTCATGATGAAACCCCGCCTCTACTAAAAATACAAAAAATTAGCTTGGCATGGTGGCACGTGCCTGTAATCCCAGCTACTCAGGAGGCTGAGGCAGTAGAATTGCCTGAACCCAGGAGGAGGAGGTTGCGGTGAGCCGAGATCGTGCCATTGCACTCCGGCCTGGGTAACAAGAGCAAAACTCCGTCTCAAAAAATAAAAATAAAAAAAAAGAAAATGCTGTGGGAGGGCCAGGCGCGGTGGCTCACGCCTGTAATCCCAGCACTTTGGGAGGCTGAGGCGGGTGGATCACGAGGTCAAGAAATCGAGACCATCCTGGTCAACATGGTGAAACCCTGTCTCTACTAAAAATACAAAAAATTAGCTGGGCATGGTGGCGCGTGCCTATAATCCCAGCTACTCAGGAGACTGAGGCAGGAGAATTGCCTGAACCCAGAAGGAGAAGGTTGCGGTGAGCCGAGATCGCTCCATTGCACTCCAGCCTGGGTAACAAGAGTGAAACTCCGTCTAAAACAAAAAAAACAAAAACAAAAAAAGAAAAGAAAAAAAGAAAATGCTGTGGGAAAATATATATATATACACATATTTTATGTATGTAGTTTCCCAGTTTTCAACAGCACAATAACCATTAACTAGGAAGACATACTTTTTTAAAAGACTTGTCCAAGAACATACCAGGTTGCCGTTTGGTACAATAAGCAGGTATTTATTAGGGAGAAGTATAAAGGCATGTGAGAGGCCATGTGCCTCTTACTACTCTATCTGATTCAGGTCAGGTGGAGGCTGACTGTGTTTTCTAACTCAATGAATGGAGTTTTTAATAAAAGATAATCTAGCCAGGTGCAGTGGTTCACACCTGTAATCCCAGCACTTTGAGAGACCAAGCCAGAAGTTTGAGACCAGCCTGGGTCACACAGCAAAACTTCGTCTCTACAGAAAAATTTTAAAAATAGCTGGGCATGGTGGTGTGTGCCTATAGTCCCAGCCATTTGGGAGGCTGAGGCAGGAAAATTGCTTGAGGCAAGGAGTTCAAGGCTGTAGTGAGCTATGATAGAGCCACTGTAGTTCAGCCTATGCAACAGAGCAAGACCCTGACTCTTAAAAAAAAAAAAAAAAAAAGATTATCTGCCTAATGTATTCAGTCATACCAAAGCAAGGGATGCCAACTATATTATTTCTGTTTTTTGGAATCATTCCACGATATAGAGCTCTAAGAGAGGATATTCCATACTGTAAAGCCTTAGTAGCATAAAACATTTCCCTGGTCCAAAATTGCTTTTAAAATTCTGCCCCGCTTCCCCCCAAAAATACTGGACAATAATACATTCAATATCACATGAGGTCTGGATATGAACAATTCATTATTTGCATATATTTAGCACATTATTACACAATGTTCACGTGCCTGCTATTTTAGTAACCATAAGACTTTGAACTAAGCATGCTTTTGCCTTAAATCCAAGATAGCTAAATTTGGACATAATGTCTGTAGGACTACTCACTCCTAGGAGGAAGGAGATTCTTCAGAATCAGCTCTATTCATGTGTTTGGAGTAAGCCATCTCTGAGTTGTTTTTATTCACAACACTTCTGACACCGAACACGGGGTTTTCACTGACATCACTCCATTCTCTAACTCTTCGAACACAAACTAGATGTTCTACAATTCAATTCAATTCTGACACTGTCTACCTAGAGTGAGTGCAGACCCCACAGGTTAAGGACTTGGTCCCAAAAGACTGCTCCCACTTCAGATACCAATTGCCAGTTTGGGCCACCCATACTCCTGGGCAACTGGTTATAAAGTAGGGGGATTCCTACAACCCTCTCCTCAGGTTCATAGAACTCATGACAGTCATCTACTTACTATTTCCAGTTTCTTACAACGGATAGAATTTAGGAGCAGCCAAATGGAAGAGATGCATAGGGCAATGTATGGTAGGGGGAATGGGGGAGAAGTTTCTAAGCCCTCTTTGGGTTCCCACCCTCCTCCTAGCACTTTGATGTGTTCACCAACCCAGAAGCTCTCCAAGCCCGATTGTTTAGTTTTTTTGTTTTTGTTTTTGTTTTTTTTTTTCATAGAGGCTTCATTACATGAGCATGATTGATTAAATCATTGGTGATTAGTGACTGAAGTCCATCTACAGCCCCTTTCCCCTCACTGGAGGTTGGGGATAGTGGGGAGGCTGAAAATTCCAGCCTTCTTATCACATGATTGGCTCCTCTGGCAACCAGCGCCTATCTTGAAGCCACCTGGGGGCCCACCAGGAACCACTATATTAGCATAAATTTAGATATGGTTGAAAGGGACTTGTAATGAATAATGAAAAATGCTTTAATCACCCCTATTGCTCAGGAAATTCCGGGAATTTTGGAAGCTATGCCAAGAACTGGGAACTGGCGGAGCATGGTGGCTCACACCTGTAATCCTAGCACTTTGGGAGACCCCCTGTCTTGAACCAGGAGCTCAAGACCAGCCTGGGTGAGATGGCAAACCGCATTTCTACAAAAAAAAATATAAAAATTAGCCTATTTGGGTGTGAACCAAAGATCATGGAGCTTAAATTTAGTGGGGGTAATTCAGTCCATGAAAAAATGAGTAAACAAAATAATTTCAGGTACTGCTATGAAGAAAATATAACCCAGTGATGTGCTAGAGATAGTCTGGGAGACTACTTTAGATTCCGTGCCAAGGGAAGGCTCTCTAAGCAAGGAGTCTCCAAAGCTAAGCCACCCTTCCCATCACAGCCTGGTCTAACAAGGAGGGGTTGAGAAAAACAAGCAGCACTTCTCTGTGTAATATGCAAAAAACATTTTTCAATGCTTGTGGGAATGGGAAATAACGGTAGGGAGATCCTTTTGCTGTGAACTGATTTTTTTCTTAGAATCAGGATAGTTCAAAATTCCAGAAAATTTTGATCTTACACAAATCCATCTCCAGCTGTTCCTAAATTTTGAATTTTCCTTCAGACATTTTTTCTGTTGTGTAATGCTCCTATCTTCTTTCCTTTTTTTCACCTTTTCCTTTGATATATCCCATTAGAAATACAGAGTCATTTACTATCAAGTCTGGTCAACCACATGCATTTTGAAATATTTACTTCCAAATGAAAGAGGAGTAATTTACATCTAAAAAGAGCTTTTAGCACTGAGTGTCTTGGTCATCACGTATCACAGTTACGTGATATGTCATATATCACATAACTGATATGACTTGGTTCACTTTTTTTTTTTTTTTTTTTTTTTTTTTTTGACAGGGTCTCTCTATGTCTCCCAGGCTGGAGTGCAGTGGTGAGATCTCAGCTCACTGAAACTTCCACCTCCCAAGTTCAGGTGATTCTCCTGCCTTGGCCTCCAGAGTAGCTGGGATAACAATTGTGTGCCACCATGTCTGGCTAACTTTTTTTGTATTTTTAGTAGAGACAGGGTTTCACCACATTGGCTAGGCTGGTTTTGAACTCCTGATCTCAAGTGCTCTGCCCACATTGGCCTCCCAAAGTATTGGGTTATGGTTGTGAGCCACTGCACCCAGCCATCTTTTGCATTAATGGGTGCCATATTTCGAAGACAGCACATAGTGGTGAAAGACCATGGGCTTTAGGGTCAGGTCTAGCTTTGAGTCCCTACTCTTCCACTTGCTGTCTGAGTGAATGTGATCAAATTACTTAATATTTTCTGGGTGGAAATCCTAGCTACATTTTAGGGCTATAGGACCAAAGATATTCAAAGAAAATTGTCTGGCAAACACTAGGCCCTTAATTCGCAGAAGTTATTACTATTATTCTAGTCATGCTTGGTAATCTATATAAGCTCTTGGATTCTATATATGGTTGAGTCTGACATTTCCACTT